GGGGTGGGGCTGGACGGGGGAGTGGCCAAATGAGGAGCTGATAGGAATATGGGGGGCCAGACCAATGACCAGTTTATAAGGGTAATAGGAGTCTGGAAACTGCTCTGGCCAGCTGCCCTCTGCCTATGCTGCCACACTAGGCTGTGGGCAAAGACAACAAGGTGGCATGAAAGCCAGCCTGGAGATGTGCCCTCTTATCTTCCCCTTGCCATTCTCTTCTTTCCTTGCAACCTTGAGGAGCTTCAATTATTCCATGGCACAGAGAGAAAAGTAGATTGCAAACAGTGCGGCACTTTTTCCTACTCGGTGACAGAGAAAACTGTGATAACTGTCCATGAAGATGGGGAAAATATGACTTAGTAATAAAGGACATAAGCTTTAGGTATAAAATTACTGATCTCAATTCAAATCCTGTTCCTGCTAATTATTGGGTGACTTTGTGAAATGTTACATCATCTTTCTGTGTTTTCATTTCCCCATCCATAAAATAAGGCAAAAATACCATCCAGTCAGGCCCGTGTGGCTCACTGTTTGAGCATCAACCTATGAACTAAGAGGTCACAGTTCAATTTCCACTCACGACACATGCTGGGATTTTGGGCTCAATCCTCGGAAGGCAGTGTGCAGGAGGCAGCCAATCAATGATTCTCTCTCATCATTGATGTTTATATATCTCTCTCCCTCTCTTTTCCTCTCTAAAATCAATCCTATATTATAAAAGCCCAATATGCTAAATGTCTGGTCGGCCACTCGACCAATCAAAGTGTGATATGCTACTGCTGCTCAACTGCTTGCTATGATGTGCACTGACCACCAGGGGGCAGATGGTTGACTGCTTGACCAGTTGCTATGATGTGCACTGACCACCAGGGGGGAAGATGCTCTAACTGTTAGATTAGCTTGCTGCTAAGGTCTGGCCTATAGGGATGGGATGGACACACCCTGGAGACCTCTCATGGTCCCTCCCTGGCTGCCAACTTCCCACGTTCCTCCCCAGCCTCGATCATGCACCAGTGGGGTCCCTTGGCCTAGCCTGTGACCTCTTGCAATCCTGGCTGAGGGATCCCACTCCCACCCCCCACCCCTGCCCACGAGTGCATGAATTTTGTGCACCGGGCCTAGTAAAAATATATTTTTTAAAATGCCTTCCATATAGTGCTATGTTGAAAACAATTATTTAGTAGTTTAAACCATATAAGTCCCTGACCCTCACACCCCATTCACCATATAAGTATAGTATATAGGCCTTCTATCTTGATTTCAAACATTATATTGTATCTTGTCATCAAGCCATAGAACCAAATTTGGAGATCATAAGAATATAGTGACCATAGATATGGGATTCTGCAAAAGCAAGGAAAGGGGGTGGAAAGATGTGCTCTCTTCTGCATGTGTATCCACAGCATCTAGTTACTCCTTGGCCTTGGGCGACCCAGGGCAGGGAGGTGCACAGAGCCCATTGTATCATTAATTAGGCCCTGGCCTTCTCAGCAACCTTGGTGCCATCCTGGCCCATTTCTTTTGTCCCTATGAAGTTAGAGTAGAAAAGGCTTAACCTGGTTGCCAGGTGCACAATCATAGCAGAAATTTGAAGCCCCATGAACCCAAGTGGCCTGAGAGAATGCAGAAGCAACCAGCTAAATCTTCTTTGACCTTGTTCTAAAGCTATAAAGCCATGTTCTAAAGTCATTTGGAATAAGTCAAAATCCACACACTTTTTTCTGCCTAAAAGAGGATATTGAGTTATCTTTCTCCCTTCCTCCCTTCCTCCCTCCCTCCTTAACTTCCCCTATCTTTTATTCTTCCCCTTTTCTCTCTCTTGTTCCCTCTCCTTTCTCATCCAAGAGCCTCTCTTCTCTGCTCCTGTTCCAGGCCTGCCATCCACCCCTGCAGGCACTGTTTCATCCCTGGATGGCTCCTGGACTGACAACACATCTGCACGCTGCCTCTGCTCTGTCACAGGAGCAATTAAAAAACCAACTCCAGTCTTTCTCTTAAGAGGATCAAGAAGTTGTAGGCTAAATGCAGACAGAATGCCTAGTAACCATGGCAACACATGCATCTGGAAATCCCTGACCTTACACCCAAGACTCCACAATCTTGGCTTTGCTATAACTTGATCTCATGATTTAGGAATGAGGCTGATATGTCCAAGTGGTACATCTTTCAGCCCTAGAAGAGCAGCAGCAGAAGCTGTGCAAATGAATGAGCTGTTTATCTCTGTCCGCCGGGGGTCTGGTAGGAGTGGAGAGCATTGCTGATTCTAGGACTGGGGGAAGACTGAGGCTGTGGAGTAATCTATTAGATGTCAGTGAATATTGCTGCTTTTACATCAATTTGCTCATCCATTGCCCTTGCTAACCCTACACATACTCCCATGAATATGCCCACATTGGCCATTGTAGAATTGAAGAAGTGCATGTTTGGTTTTCCTCCTGACAAGAGGTACAACACAATTCACAAAGCCTTGATTCCCTTGGGATAGTGATGGGTTTAGTAGCACTAACTCTAGGAAATCAGTTATCAAGAATTTACTTATTTTAAAAATACATATATGTTCATTGATTTTGGGGAGGAAGGGAGAGGGAGAGAAAGAGAGAAACATGAGTGATGAGAGAGAATCTTCAACTGCCTTCTGCATGTCCCCACCCAGGATCAAGCCTGAAACCCCAAGCATGTGCTCTGATTAGGAATAGAACTGTGACTTCCTGGTTCATAGATTGACAGTCAACCACAGAGCCACACTAGCTGGTCAAGAATTTAATTATTTAAATTCATTTCTTGTTTGCTTCCTTTCAAAAGTAACACATTCTATACTAATAAAAGGGTAATATGCTGATTAGACCCGGTCGACCGGACATATTCCAGACATCTAACTTCCTTCTTGACAGTTAGGGGTGACTAGGCCAGCAAAGGGACAGCTGGGGGGACCAGGCCAGCAGGGGGACAGTTAGGAGGGGACCAGGCCAGCAGAGGAAGAATCAGAGGGGAACTAGGCCAGCAGGAGGCAGTTAGGAGGTGACCACGCCAACAGGGGGTAGTTAAGGGAGGACCATGTCAACAGGGGAGCAGTTAAGGGGGGACCAGGCTGGCAGGGGGGCAATTAGGGGGTGACCAGGCTGGCAGGGGAACAGTCAGGCAGGCAAATTGGTTAGGGGTGATCAGGCAGGCAGGCGAGAGGTTAGGAGCCAGCAGTCCCAGATTGCAAGACAGATGTCTGACTGTTAGTTTAGACCCCATCGCTATAGGCTGTCAGACACCTCCCTAGGGGTCCCAGATTGGAGAGGGTGCAGGTTGGACTGAGGGACTCCACCTCCCATGCACAAATCTTGTGCACCGGGCCTCTAGTACTATAAATAATTTGTGGATTGATGTCAGTGGGAGAGGTAGGTATAGGGAGAAAGACAAGAAAACAACCATTGTGGACATTTTCTTGTGTTTCCTTCCAGTATTCCTCGCCTATTTTTAAACTTAAAATTTTGCATTTATTAAATTTTGTATTCTTTTTCTTTCAATATTATAGCATATATTTCCCCATCATTACAAATTCATCATAATTACAGATGCTTTTGATTGGCTTTGAGATATTTCTCTGATATAACATTGTTTACTTAACCTTTTTTGTTTTTTGAAAATGTGGGTTTGAAAATGCCTGTCTGCCATGATGACTATCTCAGGGCATAGAGAAGAATTAGTACCTTGATATTCTAGTGTGTGTCAGTCCTTGTTTGGGCCCTATGGGGAATATACAGGGTCCCTGACATCAAGGAATTGACAATTCAGTTTGAGAGGTAAAAACAGAGTCATGGGTCAATCGTGAGCTCTTTCCTTTGCCATTGCAGATTGGTAAAGTGAAAGCATACGTTATACCGCCAATTTTAAAAAGAAAAACAAAACCAAGATTACACCCATACACACACACACACACACACACAATGTGGGGCAAAAGTAGGATTATTGGTACATATCTAGATTGACCTAGACTGAAAAGTAATTGTTAACAGTAAATGTCATGGGGAGATTAAATTGAAACAGCAGTTGTTCAAATTGTAATTTTAGGTTAGCCTAAATATCTAATAACTGATGATAAGCTATATATTTTTGTTCATTTGATTTAGATGCTGTAATTAAAGTTTATTTTTTTTCATATATCCCAAACTATATAAACATTCATTAAGAGGTGTTCATTACATTGCAGACAACATTGGTGGCTGATTATCTGAAGTGCAGTTCTGATTTTTATGGGCTGATTAAAATCTACTTTCCCCTTGCTTTCATTTTCACAATCAAGTTGAAGCTCATGAAAAAATATTCCAGAAAAGAGCTATGAAATTCATCAAACCACAGCAGATTAAAAAAGCATATCATGATGGGGTGTGTGTGTGTGAGCGTGTGTGTGTGTGTGTGTGTGTGTGTGTGTGTGTGTGAGAGAAAGAGAGAGAGAGAGAGAGAGAGAGAAAGAGAGAGAGAGAGGAAGAGAGAAAGAATGAATTACTGCAGAGTAGGAGTGGAGGATACACAGAGAGTAATGAATATAGGAAACCATCTTTTAAAGGTGATCAGGATTGGGGGATGTTAGAATGAATGAAGGGTACATGCACCAGAAGCCAAGCCCTCCCAAACTCAAATGTATGATAGGAAGTATAGTTGCTATGATGCACACTGATCACCTGGGGGTAGACAATCAATACAGGAGCTGCCCCCTGGTGGTCAGTGTGCTCCCACAGCCAACCTTCCACGGTCCACCTCTTCTCCTCCCCTCCTCCCCCCCAGCTGGCCCTGATCAACTTGATTGGGACTGGGCCAGACCCTGATCAGCCCTGATCACTGGCCAGGCCAAGGGACTCCACCTGTGCACGAATTGTGCACCAGGCCTCTAGTGATTTTATAAATATCCAAATGGCCCTTGGCAGAAAAAAGGTTCCCCACCCCTGTGTTAGGGTCTAGGAAGAATGATTCAAGGCCACTGATGCATCTGAACACACCCTCTCCTCTTTCAGATCGATGATCCCAACAGCAACCTTGAGGAGGTGATTAATGAGGCTGACGCCATCACCACTGTGGACAGTCTGGGAAGCAAGCAAGCCTTGACTACAGATTACCTGGATTCTGATTATCAGAGAGGACAGCTGTACCCGTTCTCCCTCAGCAATGACTTGCACGTGGCCACATTCGCTCTCACAAATGCAGTTCCGATGACCCAGACCTTCCAGGAACGGTGGTACATGAATCTGAACAGCCTCATGGACCAGGCCCTGACCCCACAGTGTGGAGGTGGGAACGACCTATACATCATCACAGGCGCCGTGCCCTCAGACGTCAAAGTCAAAGACAAGGTGACCATCCCTAAGTTTGTTTGGCTGGCAGCCTGCTGTGCTGTCCCCGGAGGAGGCTGGGCCATGGGCTTTGTCAAGCACACCACGGGCAGTGATGTCATAGAAGATGTGATGGTGAAAGAACTGGAGAAACTGCTTCCGTCGAACCCTCAGTTGTTCCAGAACAACTGTGGCGAAACAGAACAGGACACGGAGAAAATGAAAAAAATCCTGGAAATGGTGAACCAAGTCCAGGATGAAGAGCGGATGGTGCAATCTAAAGAAACCAGCAGCGCCGTCCCCAGCACAAGGAGCAAGAGGTCTGCTCTGCAGCCTCCAGACGCCCCCGAGGAAAGGAGTAGCCTTCTGGGGAATCTCGTAGGCTTCATCGCCACCCCGTTCATCAAGCTTTCCCAACTAATTTGCTGCCTTGTGGTGGGCATCCTGAAGAACACTGTGTATGTCCTGTGGTATGCCGCCAAGCAGGTGATTAATGGCATCGAAAGTTGCCTTTACCACCTGGGTTCAGCCACTATCTCCTACTTCTTGGCCATTGGGGAAGAGTTGGCAAGCATTCCCTGGAAGGTACTCAAAGTCATACTCAAAATCATCAGGGCCATTCTCCGGATCCTCTGTTGTCTGCTGAAGGTTGTTTGCCGCATTCTGGGCATCCCTGTCCGAGTCCTCGTGGATGTGGCCTCTTTCCCTGTGTACACCATGGGCGCCATTCCCATCGTGTGCAAGGACATTGCAGTGGGCCTTGGTGGCGCCATCTCTCTGCTCTTTGACACTGCTTTTGGTACCATGGGTGGCCTATTTCAGGTTGTCTTTAGCGTTTTCAAGCGGATTGGCTATAAGGTTACTTTTGAAAATTCTGGGGAGTTATAGAATTCAAAAAACTAATAGTGGCCAGTCACAGTAAATTTGATTTTTTTTTTTTTAATAGAAAAGGCTGGAATACTTTGTACAATGGGTCTTTGTTCACTATCCACTATCATTAATTTTGGCCTTTTATGGGGATGAATGTATGTTTTTGCAAAGGAAGATGGTACAATTTAGATTTGACCCTAGAGAAATGGTCATGGTAGGACTATGTATATGTCAGCTGATATGAAATGAGCCAACTTCTAAACCATGACCTTTAGTTATTTACTCTGATGCAGATGACCAGCTGAGACATTCTGGTGTTCATTAAAATTCTACAGGAGGAAAAAATGAAAAAGAGGACAACTTTCAACCAAAGTGTTTCCAAGACAATGAGAAAGAAATCTTGTTCCTCCTATTACTCTCTGAGACTCAAGGCAAAACTGGCATAAATATTCTTGGCCAATGTGTCTTTCGCTTCTCTTTCTCCTCAATTCAGCCGACCTTGGTGAGGTGCAGACATGCTTCCCTGGTGAAATAGCTTCCTTAGGGTAGAGAATCTGTTATATCCCTTAGCTTTCTGTGGCTTCCAAGGGACCTTTCAGATATTTTTTTCCTCCAGAATTGAATTTTGCTGAATTTTTCTTTTATGTAATGATAAACATTTTATGCCAAAAGCGGCATAACAAATTTTGAATGCAAGGGCAAAGATGATTTGCCCCTTGAACACTGTAGGACAGTCTTCTTGGGTAGAAAGAAAAGGGCACATCGGTCAGAGCCCAGCTCTGAATAAATGCTGTAGGTCCCAGGATATTCCTAGCCAAGCTTGGACTAATTTGAAATATATTCAATATCTGGCTGACAAGATGGAGCTCAAAGACCTACATGTTAAGCTAAGATGAAAATTGAAACTCTGCAACATACCAGATCAGTCTTTCTTACATATCAAGCAAATACCCAATACAGTAAAACACATTGACTTCTATCCTTAAATGATTGTTTTGGTATAAATGTATAGAAAAGAGCCACTGAACAAAATCTATTCTAGCCGTCTGGAAAGTTTACATATGTATAAACCTGATTAAGAATTATCTCGTAGACAATTATTTTTATAGTGTGTTTGAGGCTAGAAAACATTACTCTCCTATTAATGCAAATTGATTTGAGCACTAATCTCCAATGTTTCGATCAAACACTTGTCATTTTAAATATTGCACTGAAAATGGTAAGAAAAGGAAGCAGAATCTTCCAAACTTTGCTCTGCCTTTCACAGCTCAGAATGAATGGCCCGGATTTTTATAAGTGTTCTAAAGAATTGTTGTGAGGTTAAAAAAAAAAAAAAAAAAAGTCAAGTGTAATGTACTGGTCTTGAGGGCCACCATTCATCTGAAAGTCAGATACAAAAACCTGGGGTCCAGAAAGACAACAAGGAGAAAAGGATGGGTCAACTATTTGTATCGGATTGGTGGATGAGAAACATGAGTGTAGTGAGTTTCATTTTGCAGAAAAACCTTTGAATTGGACCTAAAGTAGAAGAGCAGCCAGCAAGCTGGCATCCTGATCAATTTGTGATGCCAAGGTTGGGGAGCTTGACCTCAGTGTGGTCCATGATAGGGAGCTAGGAGTACAAGGATCTTAAGCAGTACTTCACCACCACGTCTGTTTGTGAGCATTGGCACCTGTGATTGTGCTGCTCTTCATCTCAGCAGTGTGAAGGCACAGGGAAGGGTGAGGATACTGATGGGTCAAGAATCCTGCCACGTGAAAGAAAGAGAATGTTAGACGTGACCAGATAGTCTGGCTAAACCTTCATTTGACGAGGAGCCTGAGGCACAGGGAGGTAACAGGCTTGACTTCCGTTTCACGGCTGCCTGATGGCATATCGGGAACCATGATCTTTTGCACACGTCCCTTCACTGCTAGGATGTCAGATACGTGGTGTGTGTGGTACTCTTCAGCTGCCTCTCTGGACTATGGCAGAGTTTTCTCCATCATTCATCAAACAGACTAACCAGTTGGACATGCCTAGGTGGTGACACTATTGGCCATCATGCTTACTGCCTCCCACAGGTTCTGTGTTGGTGGATGAGAAGCATGAGTGTAGTGAGTTACATTACATATACATATATATGTACATATCTGCAAGCTGGAGCCCCTTGTTCCCATGCAAGGAGCAGGGCATCCAAACTGCTTCTTGAGAGCCATTTGGAAGTGTCTTTTGTTTCATGGCTTCTTTAATGTCTTATTTATTGATTCTTGCATGGGCTTTGTTTTTTTTTAATTTGTGAAGGAATAACAAAGCAAAAATTTTCTTAAGTTTGAGTGGCTGAGACTTGCACTGGACCACGAGCGATGACTGTGTCTCTGGCTCACGGGCACAGGGACCCAGCACGTGGCTGGACTGCTGGTCTGCATCCAACCAGCTACTTCGGGTTTTGAGGTGGGAGTTTGGGTTGATACACCCCCACCTCTGGCTTGGAGATTTTTCCGTGGCTCTGTTATGTTCTCAGGCCCTTGGGGAAGTCAGCCACCTGTTCGTTCTGAGGGAGCTGATTTTCTAGCGTGTGGACTAGCCGTTTCCACTGTGCCTTTTGAATGTTGGCTTCTCACTCGGCATTAACACTTCCACCTAGATGCAGGCTAGGGAGTTTGCAGGAGGATTTAGAGTGAAGCACTGATCATTCATCCAATTATCCATTGATCCAATATATATTAGAACATCAAGGTTGCAGAGATCAACACTACATGGATCACATCTTTGAGGAGATAAAAAATCGAGTAGGGAGGCCACAGCTGCATGGTAAGTGCTACAGCAAAGGTACTGGCAGCCGCTCCCTGGAGCGCGGGAGGAAAAACCATAGAACCGTGGAAATCCGTGACGCCTTTAGAGCGGGTGTGACAAATGACATCAATTTGACATTTTCAAGCTATGTGCAATGCTGTGTACCTTGCAATGCTCAATAAAGTAATTGTTGACAACTCATTAGCTATTTTGTGAAATGTCTGAAGGGGGAGAATTTTAATGGTTGAAATGAGGTTTGGGGGTTATCTGCGACTTTTTTTATTTTATTTCTTGATCCACTCAAGCAGTTTCCACTTATATTTGGCTTTGCATACCCCACCCCCAACCCCCTCTTTTCAATTCTACAGGGGGAAAGGTTAGTTAGATCAGTGAAATAGGCTTAAGAACTGCTTTTCAGTGTTGTTTTTCTGAAAGCTATTTGGGATATGGAATGTTTGTGATTCGTCCTTCATAAATAAGCAGTGCTTCACTGATCTGAATCACAAGGGACATGATAGAAACACTCAATTATTTGTTTATTCATTAAGAAACTCGCACAGCGTCAGAAATAACGGACAGTCTGCAGGGGGCACTGTCCTCTCTGTGGCCTTTGGGTGGAGGTGGCAGAAGTTCTTTGGCTGCCTTTCCAGTGAGGGGGCAGGGTCTTCTGTCCTGTTCGGTATTTCCCCCAAGCTCCCCACACAACAGGCAGCTTTTAGAGTTACATGATGAGCAATACAGTGTGGGCTCCTTGACTGTCACAATGGGTTCTCAGATTTCACATGATCTCTTTTTGTACCCTGTTTCCCCGAAAATAAGACAGGGTCTTATATTAATTTTTGCTCCCAAAGATGCATTAGATCTTATTTTCAGGGGATGTCTTATTTTTTCCTTTGCGCTAGGTCTTATTTTCGGAGGATATCTTATTTTCGGGGAAACACGGGTAGATATTGTCCCCCTAGATAATGGCTTGATTTCTAACAATTATGTCCAAACCAATGACAGTTGATCCTTGAACAACACAGGTTTGAACTGCGGGGGCCCATTTATTTCAATAAATACCTGTATTGTGTATGGTCCATAGTCAGGAATCCGAGGATGAGGAGGACTACATCGTTTTATACAGCGGACTTGAACTTCTGCAGATTTTAGTACTTTCAGGGAATTCTGGAATCAATCTCCTATGGATACCAAGGGACAACTTAAGTTTTGGGGGAGTCAAAAGTTACATATAGATTTTCAAGTGCTTGGGGGCTAGGGTGTCCGTGCCTTTAACCCCCACATTATTCTAGAGTCAACTGTATTTTTAAGCTTAAATTTCAACAGAGTGCTCATGGTCACTTGTCATTGTTTTTTGTGTTGAGTCCACAGTGAGATGCTCTCAGGAGGTGGGTTAAGGTTTCTCCTGGAGGTAATATCGCTAAATGCTCAAGACCCAGGCTCTAGAGCCTGAAGCACTTAGGTTCGAATCCTGGCTTTCCCTGCTATTAATTTTGGCAAGTTACCACCCAAAGCCTTGACTTCTTCCTCTGTAAAATGGGACTAATGATGGGCACTTACTTCAGAAGGCTGTTATATGAATTCAATGAGTTAGTGAAGATAAAGCATTTAGTGCCATGCTTGTCACATGGTAAGTGTTCAGTGAATGTTAATTATTGTTGCTGTAGCTGTTGTTGGTAATAATATCCACATACCTTGGATGAAATTGGTCATCCTTGAACCTCCAGATATTTCTAGATTAGAGCTGGAAGGGTCAGGGTTAAGGTAGAGTCTGGGTGTTGAGGTCATGAATGAAAATGAAGGAATCTACCGCCCCATCAGTAGTGTCAACACACTGAAGAAACAGGTGAGGGTTTGGACCTAGGCTCTAGAAGAATGAGGCTCTGGGAACAGGACCTCAACCTTTCCAGCACCATTCAGGGAGGAAGGCATGAGCATTTCCAGCCTCTCAAATAGAGAGGCTTTTCCCCTCCAGGTTTCTTCCTTGCTGAGTTCAGAGCCTTATAACAGATCCAGCTCCCCAACAATCCTATTACTTGGAAAGAGTGAACTAGATAGAGTATATGCATTTTAGCTGCTGAAAAAGAATTATAAGCCCTGCTGTAAATTTTTCTTTTTCCCCCATCCTTTAATGAATTAAGGCATACGGATTAGTGCCCAAAGACAAATGATCCTGAGTATTGACAGGTAGAATTGCTGGAACCCATAGTTGACCCCTAGGCCCTGAACTAGACTGATGAGC